TGAGAAGAAAAACAGTATCATTGTGTCTTTATGATCTCCAAAAAATAAAAACCTCACAAAACAATTCACAAGCACAAATTATTGTGTCTTCCCTCACTGCTGAGGTCTGACCTCCTTGTACACGAGGGAGGTGAGAACCATAATCGAACATGTGTGGCAGCAAGGAGGTGAAGCTGCTGGTCCGTCTAATGGGTCTTTTGTCTTCAGATGGAACATGTATTTCTTTTTTTTCCCCTTTTTTTTGCAGGTGATCCAATCTACACTTCAGCTCAAGTGGAAACTGGGGCGCTGGGATCAGATGCACCGAAACGAATGAGTCAGGGCTGAAACTAACAAGCACTCTCCAGAACAGTGCATACAGCCTCCCTGCTCTGCATGAAAGCTCGGCTCCCCTCTGCTTGGGCAATTTATCAAAGAGCCTCATTAAAAAAAAGTAAAATTCTTTTGAGGATTACCTAGCTATAAAGACACAACAACTCTGTTTCCTGATGCTGAAGCTCCCATTATTCAAAGGGAGAATAAAATACTTTTATGCTGTTTGCTTTATTGTTTTTCTCCATATTAATTAAAAACTGTCAGCTTTCAGCAGGATCTCAATGGGATCAGGTTATTTGCTTAGAAGATCAAACAAATTATAATGAAAATTATTAAGTGCTCCTAAATGTCAGGTATTTTTCATAAATCACTGAAAACTACTGCTGTTAAGCCTCTTCTAAAGAAAATACATTTAGATCTCTTAGTCATGAATAACTACAGGCAAATCTCTAATCTCAAAAACATCTGTCCCGATGATGCTCGATCTCAGTGCAGCTTTTGATACTCTGGACCACAACATCCTTCTTGTTACGCTTGTAAACTGGGTGGGACTTTCAGGCACAGTCTATAGTTGGTTCCAGTCTTATCTTGAAGACAGGGGTTATGTTGTCTCTTTTGGTGATCACCATGACATGTGGGGTCCCCCAAGGCTCAATTCTTGGACCACTGCTCTTCAATCTCTATATGCTCCCCCTGGGTCAGGTCATACACAATAACAACATTGCCTATCATAGTTGTACAATTCACACCCAGATCTCTAGTTTTATCACCTAGTGACTGTAGTCCCCTAGACTCTTTCTGTCCGTGTTTGGAGCAATTTAATGACTCCAGTTAAACAAAGACATGACTGAAGTTATAGTTTCTGGAAATAAGGATAGGATGGAGGTTATTGCTCAACTTGGGACCAGAGGAATAAAGACAAAGACCCAGGTTATAAATCTTGGTGTCATAAATGATTCAGATCTGAGCTTCACTGGACACATTAAGACAATACTAGATCAGCGTTTAATCATCTTCATCAAATATACGACTCAGAGGTCTCATGTCCAGACAAGACCTAGAGAAACTCATTCATGCATTCATCTCCAGCAGACTGGATTATTGCAATGGTCTTTTGACTGGCTTTCCCAAAACAGCTGTGAGGCAACTGCAGCTTATTCAGAATGCTGCTGCTAGAGTCTTAACAAGAATCAAGAGAAACAAGCACAACACTCCTGTTCTTAAATCTCTGCGCTGGTTATCAGTAAACTACAGAAGTGACTTCAAAGTGCTTTTATCCATCCATCTAGTGTTGGCCACTTTTCTGGGGTCAGATCACGGGGGCAGTAGCCTAAGCAGGGAGGCCTAGACTTCCCTCTTCCCAGCCACTTGGACCTGCTCCTCTGGAGGAATTCTAAGGCGTTCCCTGACCAGCAATGGGGCATAGTCTCTCCAGCATGTCTCGAGTCTTCCTTTAGGCCTTCTCCCGGTTGGACATATTCGCAAAACCTCACCAGTGAGGCGTCCAAGCCTTACCATAAGCTCGAGTCACCTAAACTAGCTCCTCTCTATGTGGAGAAGCAGTGGGTCTACTCCGAGCCCCTCCTGGATGACCGACCTTCTCACCCCATCTTTAAGGGAGAGCCCATCCACCCTGCAGAGAAAAACAATTTCAGCCGCTTATACCCGCAATCTCATTATTTCGGTCACTACCCAAAGCTCGTGACCATAAGTGAGGGTAGGAACGTAGATCGACCAGTAAATAGAGAGCTTTGCCTTCTGGCTCAGCTCTCTCTTCACCACGACAGATCAGTACAACGCCTGCATACCTGCAGATGCAGCACCGATCCACCTATTGATCTCACGCTCCATCTTTCCCTCATTCATGAACAATACCCCGAGATACTTTGACTCCTCCACTTGGGGCAGGACCTCGTCCCTGACCTGATGAAGGCGTTCTAATCAAGCTCTAACACCGGTTATACAGGGACCTAACAGCCTGTATCAGAGGGCCTGGTACCCCATATTCCTGAAGTACCCCCCAGAGGACCCCCCGAGGGACGTAGTCAAATGCCTTCTCCAAATCCACAAAACACATGTAGATTGGTTGGGCAAACTCCCACACACCCTCCAGGACCCTCCTAAGGGTAGAGAGCTGGTCCAGTGTTCCACGGCTAGGATGAAAACCAAATTGATCTTCCTGAATTCGAGGTTCAACAATCTGCCTGACCATCCTCTCCAGAACCCCAGAATAGACCTTACTAGGGAGGCTCAAAAGTGTGATCCCCCTGTAGTTTGAACTCACTCTGTGGGCCCCCTTTTTTTGAATGGGGGACCACCACCCTTGTCTGTCAATCCAGTGGAACTGCCCCCGATGTCCACATGATATTTCAAAGCCGGGTCAGCCAACACAGCCCTACAACATCCAGAGTCTTAAGGAACTCTGGGCATATCTCATCCACCCCCGGGGCCTTGCCACTGAGGAGCTTTATGACAACCTCATTGACCTCAGCACCAGAGACTGGAGAGCTCAACCCAAAGTCCCTGGACTCTGCTTCCTCTCTGGAAGATGTGCCAGTGGGATTGAGGAGGTCTCCAAAATATTCTGCCCACCAATCCACAATGTCCCGAGTCGAGGTCAGCAGCACACTGTCCCCACTATAAATAGTGTTGGTAGCACACTGCTTTCCCCTTCTGAGATGCCGGATGGTGCACCAGAATCTCCTCAAAGCCATACGGAAGTCTTGTTCCATGGTCTCACCAAACTCCTCCCATGCCCGGGTTTTACCGCATTCCGCTTGGTTGGCCGGTACCCATCAGCTGCCTCTAGAGTCCCAAAGGCAAAAAAGACCCTATAAAGTGCTTTTACTAGTTCATTAATCACCCAGTTGCATGGGACCAGAATACATGTCGGATCTCCTTCCTGTATGTACACCCAGCAGGGCTTTGAGATCTTAAGGAAACAGTCAACTGGTAGAACCTTGGGTAAGAACCAAACAGGTTGAAGCTGCTTTTAGCTACCATGCTGCACACAGATGGAATCAGCTTCCGTATGACCAATAATGTGCCCCAATTCTATCCATGCATCCATCCATCCATCCATCCATCCATCCATCCATTAATCCATCCATCCATCCATCCATCCATCCATTTTCGACCGCTTATCCGAGATCGGGTCGTGGGGGCAGATGCCGAAGCAGGGAGGCCCAGACATCCCTCTCCCTAGCCACTTGGACCAGCTCCTCCGTGGGAATCCTAAGGCGTTCCCTGAACAGCCGTGAGACATAGTCTCTCAGCGTGTCCAGGGTCTTCCTTTAGGCCTTTCTCCCGGTTGGACATGCCTGAAAAACCTCACCAGGGAGGCGTCCAGGAGGCATCCTTACCAGATGCCCCAGTTCTAGTAACTTTTAAATCAAAATTAAAAACCTCCATGTATTCATCAGCCTTTGAATAAATGTTTCGTATGCTGCACTTTCTACACTGTAACTGCTACCCTTTTGACTATGATTTTATTAGTTTTTTGAATCTGAAATGAATCTACATGTCTTTGTTTGATTTACTGTTTGCTGTTCTTGCCTCTGTAAAGCACTTTGAATTGCCTTTGTGGTTGAAATGAAATGAGAAATGGCTTCTGTCCTATCCTTACTTCCAAAGACAAAAACTTCAGTCTTATATTTGTTTAACTGAAGGAAACTTGATTGTATCCAGTCAGTAACTTGCTCTAGGCCTTAACAGAATGAGTCCAGGGGACGAGATTCATTAGGTGAGTTAGGTAGATCTTGGTGTCCTCTGCATAACTATGATAGGCGATGTTGTTATTGTTTATGACCTGGACCAGTGGGAGCATGTAGAGATTGAAAAGCAGTGGTACAAGAATCGAACCTTGGGGGACACGGCATGTCAGGGCGATTTGCTTTGATTTGTGATCACTAATAGAAACAACATAACTCCTGTCTGCAAGGTATGATTGGAACCAACTATGGACTGTGGCTGAAAGTCCCATCCAGTTTATTGGTCTATCAAAGAGGATCTTGTCCACAGTATCAAAAGCTGCACTGAGATCGAGTATCACTAAAACAATGTTTAGCCTGAATCTGTATTAATATGGAAATCATTTAATACTTTAATCAGTGCAGTCTCCATGCTGTGGTGTTGTCTAAAGCCTGACTGAAAACCATCCAAGATGTCCAAGAAGTAGTTCAAACTGGACTATGACTGCTTTTTCAATAACTTTCACAATGAAGGGCAGAGTAGAAATTGGTCTGTAATTATTCATCACTAAGGGATCTAATTTACTTATCTTCAGAGCAGCAGCAGTTTTCAGTGAATTATGAAAAATACCTGACATTAAGGAGCAAATACCAATTGTCAGTATATCAGCTTTCATGTAATTAAATAAATTTTTAAAGAAGTAATTTCGTAGTATATCAAGACAATGCAGGTAGATGAGTTTAAGCTCTTTAACTGTGTCCTCTAGTCTTTTGGCACTAATATTGAAAACTGACATTCTAAATAAGTATTTGTAGGCTATCAGAATAGCTGTAAAAGTGCAATATTTACATTTATTTAATGTCTTATAAATGGACTTTGATGTCTTTGTTATCAAAAATAACAACTGAAAGAAAAAGAGCCACCAAATCAGTTCAAATAAATGTTTACCAATCCTTAACCTTCCTTCTGCATGTCAGAGACATGAAACAGCTTACCGTTCCCAGAGACGTGGTTGTCCATCTTCACATCGTTCAGACCTGCATTAAATTGAAAATAAAGTCCTGCATACTGTAAAATCCCTAAAATCAACCCCGACGCCTCCATGTCTCCCGCCGGTATTTCAAGATGCTGAATTCAACTGTGGCATGAGGCGCAGAACACCGATAACGGAGAGTCTCCGGCGGTGCTGAACAGCCTCCCCCGCACACACACACGCAGCTGGACCTACAGCACCGCGTTTCCTCTCCTCACAGATCAGACAGGCGGAAGGAGAAACAGGTGCAGCGGCTCGAGCCAATTAAGCAGAGGGATATCAGAGAGAGTCAAGTTTCAGTTCTTTTAATAAACTCCTTCATGTAATGTAATGTTAAGATGCTAGATCTTAACCCAGATATCATAAATTTCATTTAAATTCTACTGGTACCAAACTCTTTATTGGGGTCCTATGAGACATTTATTTTTTATTTATTTATTGAGAACCTCATTAGCTCCACCATAGTGTGGAGCTATCTTACTGAGGTCTCTTCCATTTTCATTATAAATATCCCCCCCCCCCACACACACACACACACACAACAACAACAACAACAACAACAACGACAATAACATCAACAACAACTACAACAAACCCCAGAAACTCCACAAATCATACTAGCTGAACTGCAATAATGATATAAAATGAAGTTACCACACTTCAGTGTTCATGTGAATAGTAATACAAATAAGTAAATACGGAGAGTTTACACAGAGGACTAAATAAATATATCCAAGAATTAAAAATCTTATCACATCACCTCCATAACAAACAAAAACTATAGAAGCTGTTATCTCAGTCACAATTGCAATTCATTGTGCAAAATCTAATGTTGTGTAAACAAAAAAAAAGTTTTAACTTCTTTTGAAAACATCTTCTGTTATTCTCTAATAACAAAAATCTCCGTATTGCATTTCATGCAACCATGGCTCTGAAATAAACCGCTCTTTGCCTTTGATTTGTTCTGCAGCGCGGTAGTGCGCACCTTGTGTTGCTTGTCTGAATGAAATGATAACTTGTCATAAATTATTCTAGGTATTTTTGTATTTATTATATTTCTTATAAATGTTATCAGTGAATACTTTAGTCTACATTTCACTGTTGACCAGGCCAACCTGTCATGCATCATTACATTTGTTCTGTAATTACAACCCAGAACAAGTCGTGCAGCTTTATTTTGTGCCACTTGTAACTTATATAAATTCAATTCACTTGTATTAGACCAAATAACTGATGCATAATCTAAATGAGACAGTGCTAATGTTTGAACTAAATTTTTTTATCAGCAAATGAGGAGAAAATTCACAACAATATTTGATTGTGCCCATACTTCTTCCAAGTTTCTGCAAGACATAATTTATTTGACTAGTCCATGACAATCTAGAATCCACAATTACCCCCAACAATTTTAATTCTTCTACTTGCTCTATCTCTGTATTACCTAGCATCAAATGCAGTCTAGGTGTCATCTGTAGTGTAAATTTAGTTCCAGCTATCATACATTTACTTTTTTCTGCATTAATTACCAGCCTGTTCATTCTAATCCATTGTGTGAACAAAGCCAACTCCTTTTTAAAAATATCATTTAACTGGCCTTCTGTTTGTGCTGATACAAATAATGTAGTGTCATCTGCATATATAGCCATGGTTGCATGTTTTAAAATTAAAGGTAAGTCATTAATAAAAATAGAAAACAAAAGAGGGCCCAAACAACTGCCCTGTGGCACTCCACAATCTACCTGACATTGACTCGAGGCTCCAAAATGATAATTCTCTGTTTAATTTTCTAAATAAATGAATAAAACAATAGAAAAACAGTGTAACTTGTGATTTGAACCAATCAGAATCAAATTCATCCGAATCACTCAAATCTAAACAATTCACCAAAAGATATTATATTGGCAGGATAACTAATTTAGAAATCATTTAAAATTCTAATTCATAATTATTTTATTTCACACATGTGCAAACATGGATGTAGTTTATATATTTATTTTTTCCAAAGTTAATTTTTGTCCCCTGCATTTTTTACCATTCAAAAATAATATTACACTAGATTAAAAAGACTGAGCACTAGGACCAGTGGAAAACAACCACTTGTGTTGAAGCCTGTTTTCTATTCCATATTACATTTTTTTGTATATTTATGGTAAAGACCCCCCCCCCCCCCCCCCCCCCCACACACACACACGGTCATGCTGGTTGTGTGCCCCCCACTTCTAAAGTCAAAACTACGTCCATGTGTGCACGTTTCATATTTTGAGTTGCGTGATTTATAAAGCTTGCACAAGGATGTGCCGTACCATTCTTTTTTGTTTGAAGTAGTGATGCCATTTTATTTATTCTTTGACCTTAAATTGAATGTGACGGTTTTTGTTCTTCTTAAAACCAATAAATGTGTGGGATGCATGTAAAACTGCATCCAGATAATGACAAAAATAAACTTTCCAAGTCCATTTTCCAATTCCGTCAGATTTTTCTAAATTGGGCCCTGGAAGTACATGACACTCTGACATCTCAATGTGAAATATTCATCAGTGCAGAAATCATTCAATAGGGCAGTTCATCATACACCAGTGAAAACGAAGAAGCAAATAACTCCATTTTTCTAAATAAATGACTTAAGTACACACCTATCAGCTTGACCCAAAAAAAAGCACAAGTTCAAAGTTCAAAGCCGTTGTAAATAAGAGCCATTCATGAGCTGCCGTTTTTCTCCATTGCATTGCTAGCTAATAAGCAGAGGTGGGGACTTGAGTCACATGACCTGGACTCGGGTCAGACTCAAGTCATTAATTTAATGACTTGTGACTTGACTTGATAAAATCTGTAAGGACTTGCAACTTGACTTGGACTTGAATGCCAATGACTTGCGACTTGAATCGACTTGCATCTGTTGACTTGATGATGACTTGAGCATATTTGATATTTTAGCATAAAAGTGGCACGACATGGACAAAAATCATAAATCAATCTTGGTTCTGGGTTTGATTTACTGCTAAATGCAGAAGCACGTTGCTTATAATCAGTTTCAGATGCACTTTCTGCTTTTTGGAGCAAATAAATTAAGATTTATTTCTGGAATTTATTCATTATCATTGTCATTAAATTGAAGTTGGACAGATGACTTGATTATGACTTGAAAATTCAAAGTTAAAGGCTTGGACTTGACTTGGACTTCCACATCATTGATTTTGGACTCGACTTGGACTCGGTTGTCTTTGACTTGGACTTGATTTGAGACTTGACTGAAAAGACTTATGACTTACTTGTGATTTGCAAAGCAGTGACGTGGTCACACCCCTGGCTTTAAGCCCACATGGAGCGATAGACCTGCTGAGGTTACAAGGGAGCGTGGCTAGATCGACCTACAGAGCACAATCCATAGTGCTACGGTTTGTCTAGATTTCTAGGTTAGTAAAAAGCTGGAAACCTGATAAATAAGTATGGCTCTGTTCTGGAGACTGATCTGGTGCCTCTAAAGCTAACTGAACAAAGGAGGATGGTTATTAAAATGAAGCACATGATGGATAACCTTGAGAATCATCACAGGGCAGTAATTCAACAACCAAGTGTCTTCAGTCAGAAGCATTTTCAGATCTGCTGCAACAAAGACCGCTAGACACACTCAGCCCACTGCTCGGTCCAGCTATGATGATTATTGATGACATTTCTATGACTTAAAAAAATCCAAAATCTTTTTAGGACCTTTTGAAGCTATTTGTCGGATTATTCATCAGAGAGACAATCGGGCTCCTTTAGACCTGGGAGGAAAAAGTATGAAACCAAAACTAAAGTACACAGAAGTGGCCAATAACTGGCTGGTTGCTCTGAGATCAACACCTTCATATGAGCTGTGTGTGTGTGTGTGTGTGTGTGTGTGTGTGTGTGTGTGTGTGTGTGTGTGTGTGTGTGTGTGTGTGTGTGTGTGTGTGTGTGTGTGTGTGTGTGTGTGTGTGTGTGTGTGTGTGTGTGTGTGTGTGTGTGTGTGTGTGTGTGTGTGTGTGTGTGTGTGTGTGTGTCAGAAATATTACTTATAGTGTAGGACCAGTTTAATGTAAAATGAAGAGAGTGACCTGGGAATGTGACTCAACCAGGGAGTGGATTTCAAAGCCGACAGCCTCCAGTGAAGCTTCGTGACATCCATTATTTATCGGGTCTCCTCTCACATATTCAGCTGATTCTTTCACCTGCTGGACTTATAGGGTGAGTCTGTCCTAGCAGACGGATTCAATCACAAATAATGTTTCAATCAAATAGACAATTTTGTTTTATTGACACATTAAATGATCCCTTTATGTTCTATTTTTATTGGCATTATAAGAAATAAAGACATTGTTATCTGCTGTCTCACTGCAGGTTCAGTCTATGTGCATAAATAAAATAACACAAAATATATGCTTTTTCAGGCTTTACTAGAATTACTTCATAAATTAAATAGAGCAGGTGGCAACTGAGGCTGCTTGGTGGAACAGTTGGTATCATTGTTGCCTTGCAGCAAGAAGATTGCATGTACAGGTACTTCATTTTTGCAACCCTAACCCTAAACCCTGTTGATTTTAAGTTGTCCCCAGGTGTGATTGAGTGCCTTTCTTGACCATATGTGGCCCTATGATGGGAAGGAGACCAGTCCAGGGTGTCCTCCACCTCTTGAACGATGACTGTGGAATTTACCAGCTTCCTGCAACCCTAATCAGGATAAGGAGCCAGGAATTAAGTATGCACTGGAATTAGCCACTGGGGGGTGCTTGGATTGTGTAAACTTCCAGTTCCTGGGTCCAAGTTAAATAAATAGTTAGAAGGTTCAAGCAAGCCTCAAACCCTTGTTCTAAATATCTATAATTATTGAGTTTTGATCCATTATTATCACTTATGTTAGTTTATGCTGTAGGCTGGTGATGATCCCTAATAATCCTGCAGCAGGACATGACAAATCCTAAGAATTCTTTGTTTCTTTTAAAATTTCAACAAGGCAAGAAACTTTTTGGCTCACCTGGATATAAAAAAGCCAGAAAGAAAGTGTAATTCCCTTTAAACAACCAAACTACAAAAAATACTCATTCTACAAATTATGTTTCATAAAATTCCTGTAATGCGTGTGTTTCTCGGCTTCTTGACTAATTTAGATTATATTGACATACTAAAGGAAAGATTAGGGAGACAAATGCCCCTCCTCCTTATTCTTCTCCTAGTTTACTACTCTTAATAATAACAG